TAATTAATTAATTTAATAATTTTTAATAATAAAAATAAAACTTTTTAATAAATAAGCAATTTTAATATTTTACATGACTTATAAAAATTATGTGAAATCTTTCAAATAAAGTCTTACAGAAAATCTTCGGTTTCGAAGCCCTTGTTAAATAATTTTAATTTTTTACCTGTGTACTGAAAATTCCTAACATTTCTTATATCTGTCATTACTTTCAATTTAAAGACACTTGTACAGTGATACTACATAAAGATTGTTGCTATTTAAAAATAGTGTTCATTGTTAAGAGTATGGAATTAAAATCTTAAAATTAAACACAACTGATACCAACAAATTAAGAACATGTAACCAAAATAACTGATGTGCAAACCATATGAGTTCCTTGTATGACCTATTAAATTATACACATTTTTTGCTGCACTTCATTTAAACTCATTTCCTTCTAATTGCTCTAACTGTATAACTTCTAATTGCTCTAACTTAATTAACTTCAAAGCAAGTTGAAAATGAGATCAAAAACTGAAAATTTTCAAATTAAATATCCCACTCAATTTTCTCAAATGGGAGTCAAACTTACCCAAAAACTCGAGTATAAAAGGTATATAAAGTTGGAAAAGGCTGGGTAAGGGGTAGGTATACATACACTTTTGGTAAAACAAGTTGCAATAAAAAGGGGAGGTGTACACTATATGACTTCCTTGTACGGCCTTTTAAATTATACATTAAAGCAATGCCATATATGAAGTTTCGACATTTTACAGCTAATCATTATGCGAGATAGGATGTACATATGAACATACAGATGTCGAAAAAAAAATTCTTTTTGAATCCGTACTAAAAACTAGTTTACAATCTGTTTGGGAAAATAGAGTCATTTTTTCTATCCATACATACAGACGTTCACCTAAAAAAAAATCATCTAAATGATTTCGGCAACGGTCAAAATGGATACTTCCGCTAAAATATAATATTGAAAATTTTTCGCGACTACAGTATTTCCTTTACTTTGTACAAGAAAGTAATAATCTTACATAAAAAAAAATTCAACTATCTAAAATAAAATCAGACTCAAAAAACAAGATTTCAATATTTCATAATTTAATTATTTTCCATGATTTAAACACTTTCCCTTCTATAATTCAATTCATTAATATTTTAATCAAAGATCAGATCTAAAATTAGTATATATATAACAGTTTGGAAAACACGTAGTCTTCATCATTTGGTGTGATTCTTTAAAGAATAGTAAAGATCTAATTCGACTTAAAAAATAAAACCGTTCTATGTTTTTTATTTTGAATGTGATACAAACAGAGGCTGAGAAATACACTTTCTTCACCTGCTGTCTCCAGTGCGAATCAGTAGCATGAACCTTAGGTTGGGTTTGGCTCAAAACAATAATAAACAGAGTGCCTATCTGCCCCTCGAATGTCGGGGGGTAGAAAACCACCTCTATAAAAATATATATATACAGAACTCATCTTTCTTTTCACACCGTCTGATAATGACTCTGACTGTAGCCTTCAAATTCTTATAATAATAATATAGAAACTATTGTAAATAAATTGTTTACTGACTTTGTTGAAATTGTTTTTCTTTTTGGACGTCTGTCTTTCATAGCTAGAGATGAGAGAGTGTGTGTGTATGTGTTCGATAGTTATGTGCAGCCACCAAGTCAAGAAATTTTCAGAATGTGCCAAACTCTAGGAACCATCCTTCAGTCAAGTAACTGGGAATCCATATGCATTCCAAGTTCCAATTGTTTTTATGAACAAATCGTGATATTTCTTGCCTTAAATTTAAAGTATGTACTTGTGGAATTTTCCAGCAATGTAACAAATGCGTTAAAATTTCTGCAAGAATGCAGAATTTTACTGTAAAATCTCTATAGGAAAAAATGAGATGCGTTTAGTAGATAGCCAGTTTTGCTAAGGTTTGCGGGTTACCAAGTGTCTACAGTTATTTGATGCTTTTTAAGTGACAACAGATTGTTGCGCAGTCGGGGAAAAGAATAGCTCAAAAAAAATTATGGTAAGAGTGTAAATGTTTTATGGTGTTACAAATTTTGTACATATGTAAATAATTTTAATGAAATTATATGAGAAATTGGAATATTTTTTGTATAATGTAAAATAAAAATCTAAAAAAGTCAAGCTTTGTCAGAAAAGTACGAGTACAGGGGCAAATCTATTTAACATTTAGTATAATGGCTATCTTGTTCGTTCAACTGGTGATATATTACCAAGCTGGCAACATTTGGCGACTAAATTTTGTTTCCAGATTTGGCGAGATATTCCCAAAAGGTGTCAAGTCGGCAACCATTTAGTGACATTTGGTCTGGCTCATGTATAACTGTAATTGGTATTGTGATTGAATAAATGTAATTGGTATTGTGATTGAATAAATGTAATTAATATAGATATGTAACTGTAACCATATATGATCTTCATATGCCTGCCAGTAATTTTGAGAAGTGGATTTCTCGGCGGCTGGAGGAGAAATTGTACAAAATTTGCCTTTTTAGTTACACTTTGCATTGTGTTTGTTCTTTTAACGTTCATAAACATTTAACGTTCTTAGTAGTTTGAAGTGTAACTACTGATTGTACTCTTAATACTTTGAAGAGGAGTATGAGTATTTTTGTGGAAAGTTTCAGAACTGTGAAACGTTTGTTTCATAAAATAAATTTTATCCAGCTCTGTTTGATTCTGTGTACATTAAACCGTATGCATGGAACAATTTTTGATGTCGGGAGTGGGGCTGAATGTCCATGACAAAAGTGATGGAAGAACAACTAAGTCAGAAAAGATGAAAGGAAACCTCAACTTCATTGAAGAGATGGAAGCAGGTCAAGCATCCATTAAAGAAGTGGTGAAAGTCGGCCAAGGATCGATCAAAGAAGAGATGAAAAATGCCAAGGAAATATATTAGGGTCCATCAACTCCACTAAAGAAGAGATAAAAGCCAAGAAAAGACTGAAACAAGTCGAGAGGAAATGAAAATTTTTTCTCCCATAAGAGAGCCACAGTTGAGAATGGAGAAATTCAAGAAAGAGTTTCTGCTGTAGAACGACAAATCGAAGAAGGAATTTCTTCTGTCCAACAGCAAACTGATGACAGATTTTTCTGCTGCTGCTGTTGCCAAGGAAGTTGACATTTGAAGAAATCCATAATGATAGCTGATCACAATTCTAATTCTTTAAATTTGAACATATATATGTCATCTCAACCCTCCTTAAAGCTATACATATAAGATGGGAAGACCTCCTGGCAAGTGTACAGCACACAGTTCTTAGTTCTTCAGATAGTGGTAAATGCAAATGGATGGGATTCTGAAACTAAAGTCTGCCATCTAAGCCACTTCTCTGAGGGTAGCTGCAGAAGATAGCCTTCAAACTCAAAACCAAAGGTTAGACTTCGAAGCTTTATCTGGTGCATTGAGTTGCACTTTGGTGAGAATCATTTAAAAGACTGTATGTTTCAGTTAAAATCTTGCTAACATAAGCGCAGGGAAACGCTCAAGGAGCTCGACACGGATGTTGAAAAACTGTCTCGTTTGGCCTTTTCAAGCTGCTCGTTAAAAAAAAAAAGGGGGGGGGGGGAATTCTGTCCTTGCAGTACTTTATTAATGGCATCCGAGATCCTGAAATACAGAAAGCCCATGGAATGCCAAATGTCAAGGATTTAAAAATTGCTTCAGTGCATGCTATGAAATTCAAGGCAGCCTAGCAAGCAACTGATACAGATCACCCAATCATAGCTGCTCAATTCCAGGAGCCAGAAGATCAAGTGACTGCTCAAGTAGACGATTTAACCAGACAAGTCAATGCCTTGAGACAAAACAGGAGTGAAAAGAAATCGACTCAAAAGCGCAGACACTGCTATGACGAAGTTTACCTACAAAGGAAATGCAAAACATGACAGCGAAATAAGATCATTTCGAGCAAGGACAGGACACAAGTTAGTGGCCATCTGATGGAGCAGAGGTTGCTAGATATTGAAAAGACCCATTTTAAAGTACTTCAGGTTTCAGATTCTGAGTGGCAGTAGTAATGGAATTTTCAACATCGAACATATCAATGGAGTTCCTTCTTTATCCTCCAGACTGTCCGGTGATAAAATCAGAATTGATGGAAAGTTAAACATTAACATTACCACGTCATATGTCATAGATAATACCGACCCTTGCATATTCGGATTAGACTTCTTCTCTCCATGTTTGGAATTAATGATGGAGTTAAATCTGTCCATCAAACCAGAGCTCTACATGATCTTATAGTAGAAAGTAACAACAACAGAAATTTTTCTTCCTAGATGCATAACTGAAAATACAAATTTCCAGTACGGCATCATGCGACACCGAGAACTAGTAGCTTCTGCAATTTGGATTTTATCACTGGATATAGTCTGAAGGGTAATGTAAGGTGGTGTCCAGATGATGGTGACATTGGCACATGGCGAGGAACTCCATTGATTGACTTATTGAGGATGATGATCCCAGTGACAGTTGCCAATATCACTGATAAGACTAAAGTAATTAGGAAAGGTGAAAGTGTTGCAGCTTGTACTCAAGTCACTAGCAATAAACAAAAAATCGTTGTACCTTCAAAGAGCCTAACATCGAAGCTGGGCACAACTAAATGCTGAAGAGATGAATGCTGCTGAGCATGTCAAGAAGATCCAAGACGTTTACTGATTACTAAACAGGAACAAGTAGGAAAATGTCTAAAGGATATGCAGCATTATTCTTATCAAGCTTCCAGTGAATCCTTCGCTGTCTCCCATCGTTCTAGTTTGAAGAAAGACGGTTCAACTAGATTTTGCACTGACTATCGAGTAAACGAGCTTACGAAGAAAAAGAGCTATCCTCTTCCTAGAATTAATGATGCCATTTGGATTATGTAATGTGCTGGCAACTTTCAAACAGGAGGATGGTGATGAGAGGTTTTTTCTATGAAGCCTGTCAGAAAAAGTGTCAGTCTCCCAGAAATACATAACATATAAAACCCCTTCAATATATTTAATAATAATTTAGTCACAAAAGAACTGACAAAATAATGTGTTACAAAATTCAGAAAACAATAGTTTAACAAATGTCAAATGATGCAGATATCTATAACAAATGAAAACAGTTCTTACAGAATATGTCTGATCAAAAGATGATTTCTATGACTGTGAAACACCAACTAATTCAAGTTCAGCATTTTTCAGTGCCCAGTGATGCTCACATATTTCCAAAGCTTCCCATTCAGCCTGCAAAAAAAAAAAAAAAAAAAAAAAAAGATTAATGTAGGGTGTAATGAAAATAAAACAGGAACAAAGGAGAAAGGAAGGTGTTCCCCCCCCCATGAAGTGTATACTGCCAGGATACACCTGGGCCTTGGAGAAGTGGTAAGGTTTGGGAAATGAATTAGTTGGTGAATTGCAGAAGATAAAACGTTTGTGTTAAATGAATGAACAAACAAGAAAGAAAGAAGGAAGGAAAGATTCAATATATCAACCCTTCATGCAACACAAAGGTCACAAACGAACAATAAATTTCTCATTCAAGAAGTCAGTTTATCACCAGAAATTCACATACAAGCTTGACAAATAGCCTCCTCCAGCTCATCAATTGTTAAAGGATTGTGCTTCCCAGAAACTAGTCGCAGGGTTATGAGGTCAGTCGATGAGTCCAGATAGTCAAAAATATAGTAGTGTGGTAAGCTCCAACTTGCATGAATCATGCTGTGTTTGGGCATGTTGAGTTGCAGCAAATTCTTTTAAAAGTGCAATATGTTGGTCAGTTGTCAATGTTTCTGGGATCAACAAAACGAGCAATAATTCTGATTTCGATGTCAGCTGAACATGGTTTATATACTGCTGGCCACCATAAATGCAACACCCTGAAGGAAGCATGCAAATAACATGAAGTTTACAACAGCGGAGGTGAGATATGCAATTAGAATTTCATCACAGACGCACATCACGCACGCCTTTGACGCGACTTTAAAGCGCTATTTAAGGCTTCGAGTTTTCGACGATTTCAAGTTCGGCAATTGTGTTTTTATTGTGGTTTCTTAATTAAAAAAAAAAAAAAAAAAAAGATCAATTATGCCTTGTAATAAACAGCGATCATCGTTTGATCAAGTATCCAAGTTCGACAGAGGAAGGATAGTGGTCTACTGAGAGTGTGGATTATCTTTCAGGGAAATTGGTAGTCGTGTTGGATGCAACTGTAATGCGGATATGTGACCACTGGATGCAGGAGGGTTCGACAGACCAGCGTGTTCAATCGCATCCACCTCAATGCACCACTTCACATGATGACAGGAACATTGTGCACATGGCAGTGACGGATCGTTCAGTCACATCACGAACCATAGCACAGCATATTTAGTCTGTAACGCATCATCCACTGTCTGCACGTACCATTCGACGCTGTTTACAGCAGTCTGTCCACAAGACGTCCATTGCTTCGTCTACCCTTCACGCAGAACCACAAATGTCTCCGCGACCGATGGTACATGGAATGTGGACAAAAAAGGATGTGGATGGAATGAAATTGTCTTTACTGACGAGTCACGCTTCTTGTCTGGAACACCACAATGGCCGGATTCGACGAGTCTGGAAGACACCGTGGAGAGAGGAATGCTGAACAGCTGCGTTATGCACCGCCACATTGATCCTGCATCCGGTATATTATGGTATGGATCGGTATTGGTTATCACTCTCGCATTCCTCTAATACGGCATTGCCAGGTACTTTAAACAGCCAGACGCTACATCTCCAAGGTGTTGGAGCTAGTTGTCCTTTCTTACCTTCAGGGCTTTGCCCACAGCCATATTTCAACAGGATAATGCGTGCGACGTGTGGTCGCGACCACACGTGGCACGCATTGTCCAAGGGTTCTTCGTCAATCGCCAGATTGAATTGCTTCCCTCACCGGCTCGCTCTCTGGATCTTCCGCCGATAGAAAACGTGGACCATGATTGCTGAACGATTGACCCAAATTACATCCCAAGTTGTCACACCAGATCAATTTTGGCAACGTGTGGAAGCTGCTTGGTCTGCTGTACCCCAAGAACACATCCAAAGTCTCTTTGAATCAATGCCGAAGCATGTGGCAGCGGTGACCTCCAACCATAGCAGCTAATCTGGCTACCGATTCTGAAAGGAATCACACTTCACAGAAGTCTATAAATTTAATCATTTGATACTTGGTCAACATGTTATCTTATAAATACATTTTGTTGTGATCTCTTGTCTTTCTTGGTGTTGCAATTTTGGTGGCCAGCTGTGTAGACAGGGCATATTTTCATCTGGATGGCGTTAACAGACACAATTTGCAGTTTACGTCTACCTAAAACCCACATCCGACTCATACCCAATACCTCCAATTAAGACCCTAACTATTTAGGCTGCACACTCCTGCAAAAGCATCACTAGACCCTTTCCTTACGAGAAACACTATCGACTGACCAATATATTGCGCTTTTGAAACAATTTGTCACAACTGGACGCCCCACGAGGTGAGGCTTACCACACCATACACAACATGTTTCTGACTTTCTGCACAAATACTCCAATGACAGTTATTGCATTGAACAATTCAGAATCCACTGGACTCCTTAGTCACATGACCTCACTCCCCTTGCGACTACTTTCTGTAGGGCACACTGAAGTTCACCATAACAATCTTAATGCTCAATGAGCTGCAGGAGGGTATTTGTCAAGCTTTGTATGTCAATTTCCAATGACATTCTTTGTATGCAACATTTGTTTTGTGTGAAAGGTTCACATTTTGATGCAGATGCAACGAGAGTCTGCATTAGCCATCATGCACAGCCTACTTCTGGTAATGGCATTCACAGCACCATGCATCATCACAATTTGTAACTAAATATTTAGCTTTTTGTACCAGATTCTTAGTTTTTTAATAAACATACACCAAAGTTACGAGCATGAAAGTTAGGAGCATTGTTCTAAAATGAATTTTCGACACAAAATCAGAATTTTCCTGAAATAGCATACCATTTTTTTCCCATATTACCAGTCAAATTATGCCAAAGTACCAAGTATTGTAAAAATCACATGACACTTTTTTTTTTAATTGCTTCTTGCTAATCTTGATAACATTGACTAAAGCAGACTTCAGGCAATGGATGCTTGGAATAAGGAATAACGATCCACGATTTTCTGCATTAATATTATTTAGTGACAAGGCAACATTCAGCAGAGAAGGCATTTTCAACGTGCACAATCATTACATTTGGTCTGACATCAATCCTCACTGCACTATCCCTCAAACAACAGCAGAAATTTTCCATAAACATCTGGGGCAGGTATCCTAGGTGATTATCTGGTAGGCCCTTACATGCCAGACCGTTTGACTGGCACAACATACTCTTCTTGGACCAAGTACTTCTCACTTTAGCTGCAAGCTGTTCCTATTCAGAGAAACGTGGTTTATGCACAATGGAGCCACAGCACATTTTTTCCATCACGGTCCATAAATTTTTTAATGCCACATATCCCGCACAATGGATCAAATTAAGAAATGACCTGTGGGTTGGCCTCCTCACTCACAGGACCTCAACCCACTACACTTTTTCTTCTGGAAGCACATGAAATACGAGACGGGTGGACTCAGCTGAAGATCTCGTCCCAAGAATCATTATTGCCGCAAACAAAATACACGACACCAAGAATCTTCGAGAGGGTGCGCCAGTCATTCCTTTGCCGATGTCAACTATGCAACAACGCACGTGGTTGGCATTTTGAGAACATTCTGTTAGTGTTTCACTCAACAATAAATCTGATTGTGCAACTTTTGGTCTCGTTCATTCACTTTCCCAAACACTGTTCTAAGTTCAGGTTGAAATTATAATCTCTCTCTTTTCTGAGTGGAATGTGACCCAATGTTCTATAGTAATTATTGCTTGTCTGGATGTGTACTATCACTATTCTTAATTTGTAGAAACAATCTAGAATCACTCTGTGTATTTATTAATTTTTATATTAAACTTATTTGATTCTTCCTTTCACATTTCCAATTTTAGGTTCATTCCAAATGCAATTTGTCGATTTTCTATAATTTATTGTTCAATAATTTTTACAGATTTCTCCAAAAGAATTTAGATTATAACCTATAAATTTTTACCATCATCTTAAAGTAGATGTACTTCAAAGCATCATCTGCAAAAAATTAAGAGTTTTTATTCAAAATTTTCTAAGATATACATGAATTTACATATTAGCATGTTTTAAAATTTGGCATATTCCCTATAAGTGATAATAACACCAAATGTGGCTTACGCACTTTGTTAAAATTATTTCAAAGTATGAATGATGATCTTTTAGCCACTCGACTACAATAGAAAAAAGGAAAGGAAAATATTTTTGCTATAAATTACGAAGTTTGCCATTCTTGGCACAAACTAGGGGCGGATGCAGCAAGATAAATTTTTAAATTTCTCACCAAAAATTACAAAATTTAATACCTAGGTATAATTCAATTCGTAGAATACAAATGTGGAAAAAAATTGGTATGTTATTTCAGAAAAAGTCCAATTTTGTGTCAAAATACCTATATTAAACAATGCTACATATAAATATAATATATATCCTAAGCCACACTTTTGAGATGTGGAAAACGCAAGTTAAAATTCCACAATTGGTCCAGTAGAAGCGGAGATACGCAACAGCCCCCCCCCTTTTTTTTTTTTTTGCAAGGTGTACATTAGAACAGTTACCTTCCAGAAGTTTGTAGCCACTGCATTCTAAATGAAGCTCCCTGTAAAATTGATGGGCCTAATAAAATAATAGAACGGCAAAACAAACACACACAAAATAATAATAATAATAATACCTTAAACGCCTGCTTTGGATCTGGGGGCATTGCCATAGCTGGTCCAGACATTTGATCTTGCATGGCTCTTGTTTGATCAGCAGCTGAAAAAGGCATCAGAATCAGTATTCATTAATAGTGGTAAGATTTCACTTCACTCATCTAGCAGAAGAGTTCACTAATTTGATTTGTTTAGACTTATAAGAAGAAGTATTTTAAAAAAATGCTTACTTTCTTAATTGTCTGTTGCATTAATTGAAAACTAGGATTTAAAAAAAAAAATTGATTCAGATTTGTAACAATGATCTTTTATTAGAAAAGATGAAAAAAATGTGTGTGGTGTGGATGCACTCAGCTAAGCAATGTTTATTTTTACCAGAGCGTTAAGTTTTGCTACACAATTTGTTACTATCTGCTTATTATTATTTATGTTTGGGATGTAAATTAATGAAGATATCTGAATTTGCTCGGATATATTCCCTATAAAAATTATAACTGTTTTGAGTTATAAAAAATCCAAATTTTTGCTTCCTTGACATGTTTTTTCATAAAGTTTATATGAACAGTTAACACACAAAAGTACTAACTTAGTATCTGAAAACACTAGAAAACAGCAAAATTTTTAATTATTCTTTGTTTTGAAGCTCAGAACAGCAATGTTTTCTACAGCACTTTGAGATGGAATCTTAAGTTTTAAGACTTATTTCGGAGATTTATTTTTAAACATTTAAAAATGAGAATTTTAAAATTTCAGTAATGCAATCAGTAGGATGTTCTCAGCCCTATTATTAGTTTCTAATTTTATGATTTGCATTCTGCAGACTGCTCATGTTAATTTTAAGATATGAGATGAATGAGCTTCTGCCTACTTTAGTTATTTCTTATTACTTTAGTTATTAATTTCAACACTAGTAATTACATCAGCATTTTGGTTAATAAGATTCCAAAAGGCAAATAGAAAAAAATGACGAAGAAAAACAAATGTGTGTGGGTGCACTCAGCTGTTAACATTTAAATCAGAATATTCAAATCAGTGACAGAGAGATCATTGCGCAGTCAAAAATTCTTAGAGGAGTTATAGATTTGTTATTCAATTCATTAGAAAATCAGAGGCTTATAGATTCTCTAATTTAAAATTTATTCTCAATTACTGATTCTTAATTAATAGTAAAAATTTTTATATTATTATTCATTCTATGATAATTTTCCAGATAATGTATACCGAGAAAAATAATTTTTAATGTGTAAACAAAATTTTACATTTCAAAATAAAAGTTTTTTACCATAATGGGCTTCATTAAGAAATTTTATTACAAAAAACATACAGTTTGAAAGCATAAAACATTATATTTAATATAGTAATATAGTTTTTTTTTTTTTTTATTAAACCAAGATAATATAAATGAATATGTATTCTATTGTTGATTTCATGTGTTGCATACTTACAATACAATTAGTATTTTAGAATTAGTTTTTCCATTTCTAATTTTGGAATATCTTAGATAAAAAGATACCTTCATATTTTGCAATTTTTTGTTCTAAACCAGGGGTTTCAGATGTGGTCGTTATTGATTCCCCTGGGGTTGATGAAACTTTAAACAGGATCAATGGTGATCAAAGGATTATCTGGTGATCAACCCCTTCATCATTATTGATACCCTTTAAAATGCTGCTATTTATACATCACTACAGAATCCACTGAGAAAAATAAATTTCCATATTTCCATATTATAAAAAATTTTCATATTGCAAAATTTATAATTACTTGTTTATCAATATAAACAGAGTTAAGCAATGATAATATTATAATACAAGAGTTGATTGTATTGAAGGAGGATTTTCAAACACAAGTCTAAAACACATGAGTGTATTAAATTTTAATATTTAATAGTCTTCTAAAAGAAGTCCCCAAGTAAGTTATTACGCAACAATATTATTGACTTTTCTCTCTCATTTAGTAGAAGCATAAGTTACTATGGAAAACAAGAAAGAAACTGAATATTTTTTAACAAGATGATTTGGGAATTAAGCAATTTAATTACAAATATTAAAAAAAAAAAAAATCAATACATCAACTCCATATATTTTACAGAAAAAATATATGGAGGTCAATGCAAAAAAAAAAAAAAGTGTTGGGAATCTCTTTCTAAACCAATAACATATTCCATTAACAGGAAGTAATGTTAGCATTTATTGAAAGCACCATTTAGGTATTTTTTTAAAAAACATAAAAATATACATCCCATAATATGAAATCTGTATATAACAAAAATAATACAGAAATGTGTGTTTTTATAATTATAGTGTATGTTTCTGGAAGAAAAATTTATGAAGACAAGTAATTTCTCTTTTAAAAGATACTGTAGCATGTTTTACTTTGGTTTTCACATTTTGATTTAAAACTTTTAATAAAACATTCAAAACAATTAAATTTTGAAATGTTTATTAATGTGTCAATTTAGACATGTTCTTTATAGCATGTATACATATACATCTGGTCATCAATTAAACAATTTTTATATATTAAAAATCTTAGAAAGTACTTTTTACGTTTTTAGATAATAAAACTATCACATAGCTGACAAAATTACCACTATCGTATTCATAAACAAATTTCTGCAATTTCTAATGCAATATATCTGATTTAATACTTTATAACATATATAGCAGATTCAAAGGTGAAATTACAAGGAGATCAGATCATACCATTCAAACTTTCAAGTTACAATCCTTTCACAAATCAAAATTTCTAAATACGATTACTGACAATGCCAACTTGGCTCAGGCAATTTAGCATTGTAAGTAGGTTCCCCCGTGCGAAGCGCTACCCTCGTCGAAATATAGCTGATTTTCGAATGCTTGTGGTTCCGAAAAGTAGACATGGCATATCATCTCAGATGAATTAGTCAAGCAAACTTGTAAAGATCTGACCTTAATTATTGATGGAACATTATAAAACAAGACCGAGATGAGACTAGCACTATAGCTGTAGCTGGTACGACGTAGAGGCGAAGATGAGTAGATAGGCAGTGCAAAGTTTAAAAAAGAAACACCAGTATCGCAGGAGAGTCTAAGAGTCCATAGGTGTGACACACTTAGAATTGATATTGATACATAATGGCATTATGACAACAATAATTGACAGCAAAAAAGTAAATAATTTATGTACACATAAACACAAATGAAAGAAGGGCTATGTCATACATGCAGAAATAAAAGATAAATACATAAGATAAAGCTTACAATGTTGCAACTACAACAGTATGGAATAACAATTTGTTAATAGTGTTTTTTTTTTTTTTTTTTTTTTTTTTTTTTTTTTTTTTAATTCAAAAGCCTCAGGACGGCACAATTTTTCCTCGTACCAACTCTGACAGTGTAAGCTGTAAAATACCAATTGAGAAATTCAATAATGGATTCACAAACCAACTTTATGAGTTGTGGGAGCCAATACATTACTGCATTTAATAAAAGTTCTACATAATCAAGATTTAAAATGACTCTGACATGATGCTCTAGTTTTAGGAGTTTTAACATATTTTTAAAAAAAAGAATATATCCCCTAAAATTTTTTCACAAATCAATATACGCTTTTTGATTCATGCTGCTGTTTGGTAGCACCCATTTCTGTAATATGATGTTTTCAAGGAGGAAAATATAAACAAAATTTAATTTTTTACGATAGCTAGAATTTTATTAATACATCAAGCATATGGGAATATGCTGGCAATGCATAAAAAGACAACATTAGACTTCATTTAAACCTTCCTTAAGATTCAGCAAAGAAAAAATACATTCTTGCATGTTAACACAACCACCTTTATGCAGCGTGGCAAATTTTTACAAATGGAAAAGTAAAAACTATTTATTGTGTGCAAGCTGCCAATTGTCATGAATCTTTTTTTAAAAAAACATTCCCATACTACTGAAATTGTAATTGACAAACATTATTGACACATTAAAACATACTTTAAAAATGTTAAATACAAATTTTAGTTAATAAATAATAATATGATGCATTAAAAATAATAAAACATGTTTTTTGCAGAATCCTTCTCAAAAGTTTTTCTTGCTGTGTTTTTCTCCACATATATAGCTATCCATTTTGACTTTAAAAATCAGAGAATTGATAAAACTTGGCATTATGTACCGACAGTCTAACGAACACATCTTATGATTGTTTCCTTTGTAATTTTGCGGCAAAAAATTAATAAATTTTCTGCAGTTTCATCGAGTATTAGACAAATTTCACAAACCATATATTTTAAAATTTAATTGAAGGCAAAGGGATGTCATCATTTGTCTATAAAAAGCATTCTAATTGGAAGTACAACAAAAAAAAAAAAATGTAAGAAAACAGTGATGTTGGACTCATAGAATGTTACGACCATGATTGTCTGAAGAATGTTTATGTGCATGGTTGCCAGACTTTGGCACATTCTTAAAATCTGGCAACTTCTGCTATGGTAATTGCAATAAAAAGTACCAAAAATTATTGAAAATGATTTTATATTACATTAATATCAGAATATAAATTTGTGTTGTCTTATTGTTCATAACACGATTTTTCTAATGTTTTATCGTATTATAGTCCCCCCCCTTTTTTTTTTAACTTTCTGAGATCTTTACTTCAAGTGACTTGGCTCCGGGGGTAAATTATAAATGAAACCAATTTCTACTTAACATCCTTTCATGCAGGTAGTCTGCTCCTGCTACTTCCTTTCACTAGAGAAGGCAGAAGACATTCTGTCCTGGGTAACAGCTAAAGGCCAGCAAAACTTTAAAACAAAGTTCAAAGCTTAAAAAGGAACCCTCAGATATCAAGCTCAACTTGCTTCCAAGACAAAGAGTTCAGACTTAACAGATCTTTGCAGTACCCTAAACAATGTGTATTTTAACTTTCCATTACTCTGGTATATTAATTATGGAGAGGTAAAATGTGAATCCGTAAATTTGTAATATCTAATTTTACAAACTATTCATAATATTTTTTATAGAACATGAGGCAAAATTTGGGCCCACAAGTGCTACATGCTAAACTTTTAAGTGGCCTTCACACAAAAAGATAGGGCAACTCTATGCTATGCAGAAACTATGTGTTGTATAAAACTAAACTTATGTTGTATAAAATTAAAGTATGAAAACTAAGAAGTAAAAATTAACAAACAAACATACCAAAGCACATTTTGGAAATTAAAAGCAGCCATTTAGTTAAACCACTCATAAATGCCAGATGCTAAAGATTAATTTTGATTATTCTAAGAGGGGGGGTGAAAATCTTGTTTAAGACAATGAAGCAACATAAGAGAAACCCTTTATCCAGTATAAAGCAATAAGAACAGGGCCAACTGTACCAAATGAAATACCTTATAAATAGTTTTATTAAAAGTTATTAAACATAGGAAATTTGGCTATACATTACGCACCTGCCAAGCATTTTGCCATGTTTGTGCATAACACAAAAGTATTGCATATGTGCCCGTACTATAACAGAAAAGTATCGTGTACGTGTGTGCCATCTAAAAACTATTCCTATAACTAGAAACTTCAAACTCCCACCAAATGCATGGAAAAGTACCAAAATTTGAAGCTGTTTTAGCTTACTTTATATTCTGTGACTTCACTTTGTAAACATTATAAAATATGCATCATCAATCAAAAAAGGTGGCGGAAACAAGAAATATTTCAGAAAGAACTTACCATTATTTTCTCCCAAAACTAGGGCATAAATGCTTCTCAAACCAAAAACATTTAGAAAATACCATGAAGCTGAGCTTACCCTATAAAGAAAAGGAAAACACTTCCTTATTATGAAATGAATTTAAATATAAATACATGTTGCATTCATATCCATAAATAATAATGAACATAATATGTGAAATTCACGTAAATTATGTATTCTTAAAATATGGTAATGTTACACTGCTATACTTTTTTGCATGAAACCATCATCCAAACTAAACAATTAGTGAATGAAGGATGAATTTCTTTAGACTAGACTACTAGCAAAGTGAACTTGTAAGAAGACACACAGAAGTTACAAATTTTGGTAATTTTCTGTTAATAAAGCTCTATTTAACATGACATGTAAATGTTGATGTGAAATCAGATGCAACACTAATGAAGCTTTATGAAAAAAAGAGGGATGAAGTTGTAATAACAAAAAGGTACCTTATATATAATATTTAATGTGCACGGCATTGAATTCTTATAAATTGTCTGATTTTTTTCACTAAACAAAAATTGGTATTGTGCTTACTAAACGCTACACAGCTATTTATGACACAATGGGCTTGGCATGCATTTGCTAAATGCTGCCCAATTAACAGAAAAGTATCTGAATTTTTTTAATTGTATTAATTTTGTGGAATAGTATTAGGATGCAGTAGTTATTTACTTCTTAAATAGAATGCTTAAGCAACCATAGCAAAGCAGTCGAGGATTATATGTCTAAAGTATAAGTAGAGTATTCTAAATGCAGATGGGTCGCAATTTATGCAAAACATGTGAAAATTTCCAGCCAGCTTCCCTGGACACATGAAACAATCCTAGCTGAACTACGTGTATTGCAGTTTTACACACATTAGCTACACGTGAGTTTATTTCTGTGATTAAAGACAGCAGCACTTATATAAGAGAACTATCCAGCCATATCAAGAGTGCAAGCAATTCTTTTTCTTCCCACCAGATAATATGACATACCAGTACTACATAAAAATTAAAAATTCAGAAATACTACTTTTAAAGGCAACTTGTATTTCTGAAGCCATAAATGAGCATCAGTATATCAATCATGAGAACATGATTATTGATAATATCAGAATATTATCAACAATCATGTTCTCATGAGTAATCTCTACTACTATAAACCAAAGGCTTCAAGAACCTTAGAAAGTTTTACTATAATAAATATAATAGATGACAGATTACTTAAAATCAACACAAAACCATTCCATACTGGACTCACCAGCTCTATGACATAATAAGTAAAAAATTATGTTGGCTTAACTTTACTTGTTGATTTAGCTAATTATTTTATGTACTATGGACATAATTATTTTGTCTCAGACAGAAGTAGGACTATGAACATAATTATTTTGTCTCAGACAAAAGTAGAACTATGAACAACTATAAATATCCAAAATAGGAATATAAAAAAGGGTGGAACTCAAATCTTAAGACATAGAACATACAGAACAGAATAAAGAACTACATCTACTACATTTGATGTAATAACCTTGTTTCTTTAATATAAAAGGCTCAGATATGATAAAAAAACATACTAAATATTTAAGGCAAAAATGAATAAATATATAAAATTTAAGTTAACTGCATATACCATATTATAGCTAAAAGTCTAAGAGTTTGAAAATTACATATAGCAATCACCATCTACCATTTTTTTCTTCCGAGACTGACATTTCATTCAATTTATTACCAGTTACCCTACCTATAAACGTCCTACTCTAGTCTTAGCAACAAAGCAGGAATTTAAAACAGTATGAGTGGGGCGCTTCTTACCAGCAAACATCTAAACCCGAGCAACTACACAGGAATTGGCAGGTTCACCCATCTCATCAATAGAAGTAACAACATTTATTTAAATTTTTAGTTATTTAGATAAAGATTATCCAAACTTTTATAGCTTTGAATCATTAAAAACAAACACAAATTTCCATCTGCCAATTTAATTACTTAAAACCAATATAAAAGTAAATTATTTTTAATTAATTATACTTTAAAAATATACATATACTGGTGGTAACATATGCCAAAAACTGATTTTAACAGACAAGAAATAGGTGGTCCACAGAACATTTCTATTTATAAAATAGGTCCCCAATTGAAAAAATTTCAAGAAACACCGATTTAATTATTTTATTACATTATATTTCTAACAGAAATGCACCACTGTTAATGATACAGAACTAATAAAAGTACAATAGATGAAAATTTTGGAGAGTTGTTGAATGACTTTAGTTTTTAATATTTTTTTAAAAAATTTTTCAAAAATTGAGAATAAAAAAAATTGATTCAATAGTAATTTGAAGAAAAGGAAAGTTTTAAAATTCTCAAAATGTACAATTATCTCAGCATGAAAATATTAATAGTAAAACATTAATTTCATACTTAACATAAAAGTTCATATACATACGTATCAGTACAATCACATTGGCGCAGTTTGGTAAATTTTAAAGCGGAAAAAAATAAAGAATTTTTCTTTTAAAAAGCTATCAATTACATATATATTTTACATTTCAACTATTGATTTATTTCAGAAAACAATCTATAAAGTTTTCATAAGCAATTTTTTTGCTTCTTTTGTTCTGGGGGAAATTTCATGATAATCATTTCCAAAAGAGATTCGAAGCATTGTTCCTTTAGGAATTTTTAGGCAAATTCATGTACTTCTGCACAGATTTTACCCCACTTGCTTTTAATGCAAGCAAATTCCACAAGCATATATTTTAAAACCAAGTTGAACACACAAAATAATCATGATTTGCCCGTAAAAACTGTTGGAAAAAATTCATTACAGAATTGTGATGTTGGTTATTAATTAAAACTGAAGAACTGTCATGTATATGGTTGCCAGATTTCAGTGCATTTGGTGGTTTCTGCTAAGGTGGTTGAGATAATACGTAAGTACCATATAAAAGTTTTTAAAAAATGTACTTAAATAAATAAATAAAAAACAGAGTTAAAGATTTTTGTGACAAAACATCATCAATAACAATTTGTCAACCCTTAGCTGCTATCTGTAGCTACAACTTCTAGTACCCTCAGAAGCAGATGAAGCAGTTCGAGGACCTGGCGGCCAGCATGGGCCCCAAGCTTGACGGACTCCAATTCAATGTGCAACAAAAAGATCTTTTACCGATATTGCAACTCTGATGATTACCACAAATTTGAGTCATGTAGCAAGCCTAGCTATCTCTTTCCCATATGTATTGTTGAAATCTGTACAAAATTTCCATATGCATTTTTTCGCACAAATTTTATTTCGAACAAATGAATACTATTCAAGTCCAACAAGTTTGTTTTCAGTTCCCAGGCATCTTAGTTATTCTCGGATACATCTTATTTTACTAATAAAGATCTATAAATGAAACAAAATGTTAAAATTTCAGATAACATGCTTTGTTTTGTTCTATATATATATATTTTTAATGTTTTGGTTTTCATGGGATTATTTTTTCACTATTTGCTTTCATATGTTTAATTTTTAAGAAAAACACTGTTTCCAGTTTGATAATGTTTTACTTTTAGCAGTTCTACATTTTAAGTTTTCTGATTTAGAGAAAGGAAACTATGAATGTAATTAAGATATAAATTTAGTTGAAAAATTTTTACATTTCTTTTTTTGATATTGTGGCATTTGTGAAAAAGGTTTGGGCTAGCTTAGAAATTCCAAATTATTCTGCAAATATTTTATTCTTATCTTCAGTTGCAAAATACTAAGATTTTGGAAAAAAAATTAATAAATTTGAATCTTTCAGAAAAAAATATATAATGATAATAATAAACCAGAATGTGTAAAAAAATATATTCAATTAATGTTTTATTAACTTATGTTAAGAAATTTTACAAATTAAGGGTTTTGTGGCTGTTTCTAGTTTTTAAAAAAAACTCTTAAATCTTAGAATTTGGAAAGCTTACTTGATTGAAATATTTTAAGAATTTTGGTTATAAATAATCATGGAGCTAAACTACATTTAGTATTACAAATGAAACTATGTTACTAAACTATTCTTTAAAGAATACGAGATTTAAACAAAATATTTTTGTATTAAATCAGAATTTTTCTGATTTAATACAATAATTCAGTCAGAAAGTTAATTCAGTCAGAAATTTGATTCAGTCATAATTCAATCAGAAAATTTGAAAAAAGATAAAATGTAATTTTATGAAAGCTTGGAGAAGAAATAAAAAAAAACCTTAAGATTCTTATTTCAAATGGCTAAGTATTTCATGGAAAAAACTTGTGGTTTGCATTAATAAGTGGAAAACTTTAAAAAGTTAAAAAAATTCATAGATTCAATTGAAAAAGAATTTCATTATTTTTTAATTTAGAATTTCTAACTTTATTTTTAAGCATTCCAATTCCTTCCACACTGCTACAGAGAAATAAAGTGACTGACTCAGAATCGGAAATCGTCCCTCAACCAAAAATGAGGCTTTTGAGGAGCAACGCAAATGTGCCCATTTTTGCCAAACTCATAAATCATCCCAAGTTTGCAGATTTATTTATGTTTTAGCAACACAGCCCTAGTCGCAAGTTGGTTCAATCATAATGTTTTGTGCAGTGCGGCCACTGCATTTTGTTTTAGAATATTTATCTAGGGTGCTTGTAGACTATATAGAAGAATAGAAGTGTAGGTATAGAACAAGAATTGTCTTGGTACAGAAGAAAAATTTTGTCGCACAGGTGGTCACATGCTTAGTTTCTAAAAGACAAGTACAGAGTAATCAAACTTCTTCAGGGTGGAAAAATGAAGCGCTATCTAACTGGAGCGTAAAAAAGAAAAAGAAAAAAAAAAACTTAAACCAAAGCTAGAAATTGCTGAATGTTGGAAAAATACAGAGTATAAATTTTTAGCCGCAACTACCTCACTGCCCTCGTCATCTGCCTCGGATAATTCCCAATGTACCTCAACATCCGGCACTTTTTCCGAAGCAAGTACAAGTGAAGTGAGACCCATTATTCCCATTAAAAGCAAACAAAACAAAGAAGAAGAAACAGGAAAAGGAAGAATGAAGAAGTTCAAAACAACACTGA